CAGGGGCTGCAGCCTACGCTGATGCTGGCAACTCACAGCAGCCCAGCTCCTGGTTGAGCTGTTGTTCAGCATCTTAGCTGTGGAGGGCAACGTCACTGGCCCTCATATGTGGGATCCGAACCGGGGCCCTCTGGCATCCCAAGCCAGTTCTTAACCAACACGCCACTCGGCTGGCCCAAATTTTTTTTTTGTTTTTTTAGCTGAGCCATCCTGCCACCTGTTGGCAGCTCAGCGGCTGCTCAGCTTGGGCCGTGAATGGTGATTTTTGAATGAGGTATAAGTAAAGGACCATTTTATATTTTCCCTCATGGACCCAATTGTCTTAGCACCATTTATTTAAAAAATCTACCCTTTCCCCTCTGCTCACAATATTACCTCGGTCATAAATTGAATATCTGTGAGTGGGTCTGTTACTGAGCTGTCTTTTCTGTTCTTTTGATCCAGCTATCTCTCCCTGCACTAATACCACATTGTCTCTGTTACTATAACTTTAAAATAAACCTTGGTATTCAGTTGAAGGCTTCCCACCCTTTGTATTTTCATGTACATTGAATCTGCTTATTACGTTACTCATGTGCACATGCGTACACTCCTACCACCACCCTATTGGGATTTTTATTGGCCATGCATTAAAAATAGGTTCAGTCTGGAAAAGTGGCATCTATAATGTTGGGTCTTCCAACCCCAAATGTGGCATAGCTCTCCCATTTGGTTAGGTTTACTTTAACATTTCTTAATAAAGTTGTTTAATATTTTTCATAGGAATTGTTAGGTATATGTATAGTGTTTGATCTTTTATACATTTATAAATTATCTTTTAAAAATTTCATTTTCTGACTGTTGCAGGAACAGAGAACTACAATTGATTTTTCAATATTTACTTTGTATCCAGCAACCTTGCCTAAAAACATTCTAATTCTAGTAATTTATCTTCAAATTGTTTTGGATTTTTATGCTCATGATCATATCATCTGCATAGAACAACAATTTTGGTCAGATATACCAGTTTTTTTCTTGTCTTACTACATAGGTTGCAATATAGTGTTGAGTAGAAGTAGTGATAGAAAGCAACCCTTTCTTATTCCCAATTTCAAAAGGTAATGTTTTACTGTTTCACCATTCAGCATGATGTTTGCTACCATTACTATAAACAAATCTAAACTATCCTTGGAGATATATATATATATATATATATATATATATATATATCCTTTTCACCCTTTT